CTTTCCAACGGTAATTCTTGGGGATTACCCACTGTTGACTTGCAATATGACTGATCCTCTGTACAGACATCGTTGACCACATCTGTCGTTGACTGACCGATGGTAGGGTTTTCTTCATTTTGCCGTATTCTTTGCATTAGGGTAGGAGAATTAGATAGAAACTTGCGAAGATTGAATCCGCCTTCACTTAGTCGTTGTTTTGATTTAATATACAGTTCATAGGCTGCGTTGTCATCCTTGGCTCCAGAACTTAAATCATCCACGTAAATGCCACTCAGAAACTTCTGTACAAACTCCGGGTCTTCTTCCTGATATTTCTCAATGTGATGTTTGATTGTCCCATTCAACAAAAATGGACTGGCCGTCACCCCGAATACTACACGCGTAAATCGATATATCATAATCTTAGGGTCATCCTTAGTAATATCGTCAACCCAGAGAAATCTCAAGACGTCTCGATCTTCCTTTGCAATGGCAATCATCAAAAACGCATTTTCAATGTCTCCGACCAATGCTGTTGGATGACACCTGAATCTCAGCAAAATGTCTACAATATTCTCAGCAAGTGATGGGCCGGAGTATAGGCAATCATTAAGAGAGGGGCCCTCGGATTTCGTAGAGGCATCGTAGACTATCCGCAATTTTTTTGTTTTCTTGTCGCGACGGATGATGGCATGGTGTGGTAAGTAATGGACACGACTTGCATTGGTGGTGGATGTTTCATCAACTCTTTCTATGATTCCTCTAGCTATCTGCTCCTGAATAATGTTGTTGTATTCCTTCAGGGTTTTAGGATCTTGTCGGAGTCTCCTTAGGAGGGATTCTAGTCTCCTTAGACTAAGCTGGTAGTTATCTGGTATGGTGACTTGGTTATCTTTCCATGGTAGGTGAACTTCATATCGACCATCTCGGTGTTTCACAGTACTTAGAAACTCTTCATAAACAGAATGCTCGTCAGAACTGATACCAAGTGATTCCAATTCCCAAAAACGTTTCAGGTTAGTTTCGATTGTTGCTTCTGGGAAAGGGGTGAGTTGGGTAGAACATCGTAACACATGGGTAGATGCAATGTTGACATTGGAATGAGAATCGGGTGGTGCCTCTTTCACTGGACCAGACAAAACCCAGTCGAGCTTGGTATGCATTGCTGTAGGACCATTGTTTCCATGGATTACATGACCGGTGACCAACTGCCAATAATAATCGCTTCCAATCAGTATATCCAAATCGAATTCGTCTCCATCGTTTGCAGAGTCAGCAAGTTTTAGACCAGAAGATGTTCATAGGATTGTTGGGCAAATCTTGTATTTTGGTTTCCAATTGTGGAGCATATCAATGGAACAACATAAGCCAATAGATTTAACTTATGTCCTCTCTCAGTGTCCAACTGAAATTGAACCATATCACAGGAGGTAATATCTTCATCCTTAGAACCAAAGGCATTAATCTTGAGGGTATCTCGTCTTACTATAGGGAGATTCAGCTTGTCTCTTATTGTGGAAGTTATGTATGATATTTGGCTTCCACTGTCAAATATAAGTCTTGCCTGCAACGTCTTACTAGGATCCTTTGGGTTGTAAATGGGAGCTCTTGCGGTTTGTAAAAGAATCGAGGACAGTGCATCGACAAACATATTGACATGGGTGTTCTGAGGTTGTTCTCTACTTTGGTTTGTGGGTTGGTGACCTTGGGGTTGCATGCGTGGGTGTTCTTCAGAGGGGGTTGGTTGGTGGGATGCTTCTTGTTCTGGTGGGTTAGGTTTCACCTTAGAATTGGATGGACAGATACTAATGTGATGACGCTTATCACATTTAAAACATTTTATTTTAGATGTGCACTCTCTGGCAACATGATTCTTTCTAAGGCATATATAACATCTTCCAGACCGTTTCAAAAATTCCTTTCTCTCATTTCTGTCAGTCACGGTACTACAGCTATTTGAAGGGTGGGGTTGTTGACAGTAGGTGCATGTTGGACTTCCTCCAGTAGTGAACAAAGATGATGCAGATGGGATCTTAGGTTTATACGGTGGCTTAGATGGGGGATCCCTTGAACTGCCGGGTAAGAGACTTGCCCTCTCTCGAGCCTCCAGTTCCCCTAAAGATTTTGATCAGTTCATCTAGATCCCAATCTTCTTTGAGCTGCTTTGTAGCTTCTAAACGCAGCTCTTTAGGCAACTTATCAATTAAAATAGGTGTTAACAGACTACCATATGAACCAGAGTCAACTTCAAGTGATTTCAATCCCCTCATATGGCTCTCTACTTTATCATGTAATTGCCTGAGAGCCTTTAAGTCGTCTACATTAGTCACCTTGGGCAGGTTTAATAAAGCATTCATGTGGGCATTGACAATTTGTTGCTGATTACCAAATCTTTTGTCTAAGATATCTATTGCCTCTTGGTAGTTTGCTGAAGTTATTTTTAAACCCGATATTGCTTCAGCAGCAGATTTTTCCAACAGACTATGCAAATAATTGAATTTATCTATACCAGATAAATTAGGATTTTCATGAATGGAAGAAGAATATGAATCCCAAAATGGAGTCCACTCCATTATGTTCCCATTAAAATGTTTTAGTTCTAATTTTGGTAATCTTACCGTACTGTTAGATGTGGGTGGTACTGTTGCTTGCGACAGAGAACTTTCCAGATTCGATGGTGAAGATCCACTGTCTTTATTCCATTTTTTCTTCAGTTTTTCCAAAATTAAATCAATGTGAACAATTGCCCTTTGAATAGCTTGACGTATGTCATCAGCACTGGCAACCTCATCCTCAATATTTCCGTCCTCAACCAACAGAATAATCTTGTCGTCAAAACTCTTTAGAAGTGGTAATTTCTCGCCCAAAATCACACGTTGTTGGGTAAGTTTTATTTCAAAGTCACTTGCCTGTGTTTCTTCAAATATTTCCGTAGATTGCGTTAAGAGTTCCTCTGTTACAGCTAATGTTTTCGTAAGACTGGCTCGATGGCCTCCGCGTATTTCTATTAATTTCTTCAATTCCTCAGCCATTATTCGTTGTATATCCGACTCCGAAGGACCATGTAAGAGAATTTAGGTTCAAAAGGCTCCAAATCGTTTATAATACTTATTTTATTAACATATATACAACAAATTCATGAGGAATATTTACGAAAACTATCATAATGGCGGCTGTTCAATTCATAACAACGTGTTTCTCGCAACGCGTGGAATCTCGCGTGTTCTCGCGCGCGCTACACTTAGATTACGGTCAGAGGATTACGGTGAAAACATACAAAAATACGTCACAATTTCCCTTGTCTTTCAAAGCCGGTCATAAACCGCTAGAATACTGTTGTTTAGTAATACATTTGACATCTATGAGTATAAATTCTTTCGCTGAATCGAACGGTGGTATTTTTGTCCTTATTGGGCGCAGCAAAAAGTCAATCGTGAGATTCCGAGATCAATACGTTTCCTTAATCGCCTACTAAAAATTCCTTGCACGTGCTCGGAATTTATTTTAAAATTAATTGTTATTAATCTTGTACTCTCAAGATCGACTATTTGCTAGGCTTTATCTCTGGTTTTATGCGTCAAACAAGGACAAGAATACTACTGTTCGAATCAGCATGAAAAGTTGTATTTACGAATGGAAAATTGATTTCAAAATTGACTTCTATTCTAACGATTTGTGACCTTTGAAAGACAAGCCGCTCAAAATAATCCTTCACGTTTTCAGAATTCGTTTTTTCGAGGAAAGTTTTCTTTTCTATTTTAAATCTCGGACTCTCACGATTGACTTTTTGCTGCGCTTTACTCAGTGATGTGAAAATTACCAAGAAAAAGTACCGAGTAAAATTACAATTACTTCTCCAAAAAAGTAATTATTACTAATTACTTATTACTGTCTTTCAAATGTAATTAATTACCGATTACTAATTACTTTTTTCAAAAGTAATTAATTACTAATTACCTTGAAATTACTTTCAAGTTCTCATGGACTTAAACAACAATAAAAAGTTAATTCAAAAGGCAGTTCCAAAGTTAAGAGTTAAGACTTATGCAACAGTATTAAATTTGGAGTTCAGCTTTAAAAGTAGTGCCGACTCAAAATGGTCATCAGTTAACCGATTTCGGTGTGGGCGCATGATCAAGCCTCCACAGCTGAAAAGACGTTCAACAGCTGCACTTGCAGGCAGTACGGTGTTCAGCTTCAAAGCCATTTGCTTCAAAGGTGCAGTACATTGTCCATTGTAAACTGTGGCATCAATATTAAAAGTCATCGTCATCATCGTTTTTTTGGAAAATAATAAAAGTGCCCAAAAGTAACGCAAATTACTTTTTTAAAATGTTACTCGTTACCTTCAAAAAGTAATTGATTACGTTACAAATTACTTTCCTGCAAAAAGTAATTAATTAACAAAAAATTACCCAAAGAGTAATTAGTAATTAGTAACGCGTTACTTTAGTAACAAGTACTTACATCACTGGCCTTTACTAGCCTTATCTCTGGTTTTATGTTCCTAATAAGGACAAAAATACCACCGTTCGATTTAGCGTACCAAATTGTACTTACGGATGTCAAATGTATTACTAAACAACAGAATTCTAGCGAATTATGGCCTTTAAAAGTCAAGCGTGATTGCATTGTCGACAAATCGCTCAAAATTATTAAACTAACTAGAGGTCACTAGAAAATACATGCATGCAGAAACCCTCGCCTTGCTGACAAAACCATTGTATTTTCCGAACATGAAGTATCTAAAGTAGTTGTCATGGTAACACCAAAGATTAGATACGATAAAGATGTGCCACTCTGCGAAAATTATGTCCGAGATTTTTTTATGGCCGCCATTTTATTATTATTATTATTATTATTATTAAGAACTATATTTCAACACGGTACAACTTTCACCTACTAAAATTAATTATGTACAAAATATAAAAAGAAAAAAGATGATCTTCCAACCGGCCGTGCTCACACAAGCAGAAATAAGAAATAATTACAAGAAAATTATTTTAGGTAGATGGAAACAATGGCAGGATCACTTGATGTTAATTTGCATGTTTCAAGTTAGACTTAATTAAAATTAACAATAGTTGTCGTTGCTTTTACCGATGCAGAAAGGCAGCTTCAGACTTCCGCATCTCTGTAGGAAAATGCATTTTGCATACTATTTGTTTTTGGTTTAGGCAATAAACAGGTTCAGATTTGACTTCCACTACCACTACCGCTACCTTAAATGTGTTACGCATGCGCAGTAACTGCAAGAGCGTGAGGAAATCGTCGCATGTTTTTGTTTTGGGACCGTAACAAAGCGATTTATGGTCGTCAGGAGAAGTCTAATCTGAACAGGTCTAAACAGTCCGTCGCGACCGCTACCAATGGAGCCGTCAAAGGTAGCGGTAGTCGAAGTTGAATCTGAACTTGTCTATTGTCAAATCGGCTCCCGACTGTCTTGTGTTATGGTCGTGTACATCACCCACATTTGTGATATCATACAAGTAATCGGGGACCAATTTGTTTTTTCACCTTGTACATGAGAATTGAAAGTTGTTGCATTCTTCTTTTTTCGAGGTTCGGAACTCCTAGCTTGTTTAATATATCAGCCGATCGTGTCGTATAATTCTCACGAGTGATTATTCGAAACGCTCTGTTTTGTAATTTTTGAACTTTAGCTGCCAATGTTTTCCCTAAGAAACCCCATACTTGAGCACAATAATCGAAATAAGGTTGAATTATGGATTGGTATATTGTTATTAAGGTATTGAATTTGTCTGTATCCCGGAGTCGTCTGAGAATAGCAAGGCCCGAGGTGACCTTTTTTGAGATGTGTTCGACCTGCGCGGTCCAGACTCGTCTATCATTAGGCCCAATGACTTTGTCGTTTCAACTCTCTTAATTTCTAAGTTACCTACACTGATAGCAGGATCGGCAGTCACTTGACTAAGCGGCTTTTCTTGGAACCAATATATTATCATATATTCGGTTTTACTATTGTTCAGAGTTAATTTGTTTGCGGACAGCCAATTTGCAACATTGTTTAAATCTCTATTTAATGTTTCAGTGATTACCGTTTGATATCGTCACTTGATGTTGCAATTTGGGTATCATCCGCAAACATAGCTGGTTTTGTCCCAGCGTTTAAACATTTTGGTAAATCATTGATGTAAATTAGGAATAACAATGGGCCTAAACCAGAACCCTGAGGTATGCCTGTTTTCATAATTGATGGACTTGATAGTTTGCCATTCACACAACAGCACTGGGTCCTATTTGATAGATACGACTCCAGCCAGCGATGTGCCGTTCCCTAATTATGTCGGAACAAAAATATACATTTCGGATCGGATTGGATTGATAACGTTGTTTCGTAGTCGGATCGGATTGGATTGGACTTCGATATTCGAAATAAAATCCACGCATTATCGCAAGAATTAATTTTCCCTGCATTTATCAAAGCATTATCGCGGTCGTCGCTGCATTATTCGTTTGATAATTCAATTGGACGTCACTTTGGCAGCTTCTTGACATGTATTTCTTGCTTTTATATTTATTTGGTTAAATATTTCCACTTGAATGAGAAATTTATTTTATTAAATGATTCTTTGGATCGGATCGGATCGAAATTCTTTATTAAAACTCGGATCGGATTCGGATTAAACAATTTCGGGTCGGATTTTAAACATTAGCCAATTGTCGGATTATAAACGTCCAATCCGATCCGATGCACACCTCTAATAGTTAAATTAGTTGATATTAGTATATTACGTCATGCATTCTGATTCGAACGTTTGGTGTATCCATCTTAGTGCTTCGTGTAATGGTTCGTTACAGTTCTTGTTGTATCTCGATATATTTTTCATATTAAATGTTCGTATTTTCTCACAAAAATGTGACTGTTCGAATACTGAATATTCAAATCCAATATGGATGATTGTGGATGTCAAGGAAATGGATTTCATTGTCGCTGAATTCATGAACGTTAAATTGTAAGTTAGGAGTAGCTACGTCAGATGGTCTCATGAGAACAAGGGTGTCGTCAACGTAACGTTCGTAAAATCTTATTAGTCCTGAATTAATGAGAGGTTTAACGATTTCTTGTTCAAATTCCGTCATGATTATGTTAGCTAATGTCGGACCTAAGGGTGAACCCACGAAAACCCCGTCGATTTGTTTATAAAGATCTCCGTTTCTCCGTTAAGTGAAAAGATTCAGTTTTGGTACATGAGTCTAGTATTAGTTTATTTAGTGTTCGTTTAGTTAACTTCGTACGTCGATATTAGCTTATCTATCATAGATGCGTTTTAATATTATGTTGACAGTTTTGTGGAGTGGGATATTAGTAAATAAGGATTTTACGTGAAAAGAAACGTTAACAAACCTGTATCCGTCATTATTTGTTTCTTTTGACGTAAAATCCTTATTTACTAACATCTCACTCCACAAAACTGTCAACATAATATTAAAACGCATCTATGATAGATAAGCTAATCAAGACGAAGTTAACTAAACGAACACTAAATAAACTGATACTATAGACTCATGTACCAAAACTGAATCTTTTCACTTAACGGACATCTTTATAAACAAATCAACGGGGTTTCTATGGGTTCACCCTTAGGTCCGACATTAGCTAACCGATAATCATGACGCGGAATTTGAACAAGTAATTGTTAACACCTCTCATTAATTCAGGACTAATAAGATTTTACAAACGTTACATTGACGACACCCTTGTCACTCATGAGACCATCTGACGTAGGCCTACAACTAATTCTTACTAAGTTTCCATCCTAACTTACAATTTACCGTTGATGAATTCAGCGACAATGAGATCCATTTCCTTGACATCCACATCCATCCCTTAGGAACTTCTGTCTATAGAAAGCCCACTCATTACATACTGGTCAATACTCCCACATATCAAGCTTCACACCCTGGTAAAAAAAAATTTGCTTGGATCCGAGCTCTCGTAAATCGTGCCTACAAAATCTGCAGTAATGCCACTCTCCTGTCTGAACAATGAGTGAAAACAAATCCAAAATTTCATGTCTTGGAATTCGCCCCTTGTGAGGTAATCCGGAATCCGGAATCCGACTTTTTTTGTTTAGGAATCCGGAATCCGGAGTCTTGGAATCCGGAATCCAGACAGTGGAATCCGGAATCCAAATAACTGAGGAATCCGGAATCCAAAGCCCAGATCGTTCTGGAATCCATTGTTTTATTAATTTAGAAAAAAAGTATTTCACTGGACCAAAATGGTCTCCCGTGCAACAAAGCAAAGTGTTGCGAGTAAAAGAAGTGAGGAGAAAGACAATGACAAAAGGCGCAAGGAAGTAATGCGAGAATTTGTAAGCGAATACGGCAGGGGTGTGAGACAAAAAAACGTTCGTTCAAAGAAGAAAAAGAACCCTTCGATATTGCTTGGACATGAGACCAGCCGCCGTTACCGCCTAGGAAGAAGTGGAGGAAATCGTGTTAGAATGCCAGGCTGTCAATGCGCCCAACGTTAATCGAGGCAATTCAGTACTGGTTAGGGGTCTGTACCGCATGGATGACGTCGTTGCCATCAGCCACAATTTAAGAAGGGAACCATCCCCGTACTGGTTAGCTATTCTTCTGGAGGACATTTGCGTCAAAGCTGACAGTGGAAGGTTCTTGAGAAACAATATGACAGGGCCGTAGCAACCGGGG